ATCTTTGTATCGCTGGTATGTTTGGGGGTTTGGCCTCTTTCTATAATGATTCCATGCTGGTGTCTTTTGATCTCTGGCCCTCTCGCAATTTCTATTGAACCAACCCTGTTTCCTAGGTCTGCATATCTGTTTTGGTATAAATGTTTGTGTGCCTTCATCGTATATTTTGCAAAATTTGGCATATTTTTTTAAAAATCCTTGCCCAGCACAAGTCTGTCCAATTATACCCGTGAAAAAAATTTCTAAGTTCTCCATAGCGTCCTCTCTTCAAATCGAATTTAACAACTGTTTCAATGTCCCCATTCCCTACTAGATTATATTGCAGAGCGTATTTAAAGTCCAAGAGAACGTGATCACTCTTTCCCAAGGAAGCAAGGTACTGGATGTCAAATACCTCTTCTTGTTTCCTGGTGAATATTAGATCAAGTACTGACGGAACATCTCCTTCCCTCATTCTTGTGGCCTGTTTGACGTGTTGATACATGAATGTCTCCAAGATTAGGTTTACAAATCCGGCTGTCCAAATATCCTCTGTTCTCGCCATGTAGGCCTCCCAGTCTATTGCCTTAAAGTTGAAGTCCCCCAGTATCAACAATCAGGATTTATCTTTGTCAGCTCTTACCAGAATCTCTCTCATGACCATTATGAGGCCCTCTCGTTTGTCATCCAGTTCTTCCTTTGTCCATGTGTTGCTTGCTGGTGGGCTGTAGGCATTTAACCCTTAAGTTGTGCAACACATCATATGATGGGTTGAGTGACTTGCTATAAAATGCGCATCCCATCATATGATGTATTGGAATGCTACGCACGATTTAAACGGTCCGCGGATACAGGGGGTTCACCTCACCTTCATCAGGGCTCTTGTAAGCAGACACCATTTTTTTAAAAATCGTGGTCCACATTCTCGGGTGTGAGGGCCTCAGTATTGAGTGAGCCACCAAACCTGATGCACGCAGCATGAGCTCACAGCACTGCTGTTCAGCTTGTGACCACAGCATCGCCAAAAAATGCCATAATATACATGTTCATGCTATTATTTAGCGATGATATTATTGCAGAAGACCACTGACTGTGATAAAAATGACCAGGATTCTGATAATAACAAGATTGTTGTGATAATTAGTGCTGTAGTGGGAGGAGTAATCTTGGTGGGGAGGGAGGTAGCATTGTCTGCTGACTCTGTGTGACCACCTTTTACTGTCTGGACTTACCATACCAGTTTAGTTGTTCACTATGGTAAACAAAACATACAGATACTTATATAAAACGTCTGTATATAAAAGCAAAAACAGTATGGTGGGAGGAGAATTGTGGCAAGTCAGGTGAGGGGAGGGAGGGAAGGAGTGGTAGCCAGTGGCGGGCTACCACTGGTTGCCACTGCCACTCAGCATACCAACTTAGTGGTGTGTTATGGTGAACACGAATGTAGATACTTATATATAACGTCTGTATAAAGTAAATAAAAGCAAAAACAGTATGGTGGGAGGAGAATGTGGGCGAGTGAGGTGTTGAGGGAGTGAGTGGCAGGCTGGTGTGTGGCGGTCACTCCTCGTTGCTTTTTGACTCATAATAGCAACTTAGTGGTTCGTTATGGTGAACAAAACATGCAGAGACTTGTATATAAACTGTGTATATAGTGTAATAACCGACAAAGTATTTGTTCACTGTTTGATGAACACAATAATTGAATCAACAATTTGCACACCATATTTTCGAGTACAGCGATGATTCACTCATTTTATTATATAAATATATCACACTACACACTATTGAATAATATTACAGCAAAAAAAAAAAACTACGATAAATCAATCAGAGACATTGAAATAATTAGGTAATTATCTCTTTGTGGGCACTCCTGCCTGACAGCTGGCGAGCAAGACCGTCTGGGACGCATGCTGAGTCAGTGCCTGTTTTTTGCCAGACTTCCCCACCCTATAGCGGGCAATATATGCCACTTATGATTTTTTTATTATTTTCCCATGATCAGAGTACACAAATTAACAGGGTTAGAAGATTTTTTTTTTTTTTTTTTATGTACCTGTGGGTGACAAATGCTAATTAGCCCTGAGCAACACGAGGGTTAAAATTATCAGCTTATCATCTTGATTCCAGAGCTGCAATGCCATTATGTCAATATTTCGAGGGTTTTCAAATATTAATTCTCTTACCTTCAGGTGTTTTTTCACCAGCACAGTCATTCCTTCTCCTCTTCCTAGTTCTCCTGGCACGTCTCCAAACTGAGTAGCCCCTTGGGAATACAACCTCATTTAAAATATTTTCTTCAAGTTTCGTCTCTGTTAATGCGACAATATCTGGGACTTTTGAGATGAATTATATCCTTCAACTCCAATATTTTTTATCTATATTGGTATATACTATTTTCAGGAATATGTTCCCCTTCCCTTTATTCACTACACCCCCTGTCCTTTAATGATTTTGTTGCTTTGTCTTTATGTACCATTTCACAAGCTTTCCAGTCCCTGACACTTTGTAGAAAAAAAGAATTTCTTCTTCATTTCTATCCCCATTTAGACATTTTGCTTCAATGAGGTTCATTTTCAGCTTTTCTCTGTCCTCTTTTGAGAGGTCTTGTCTTATTGACCAAAGTTTGCCATCCTTGTTACACTGCAATTTTCTGGTATTCCGAAGCACTTCTGTCATATACTTCACTCCATTAAACGTCACCCTTAAGGGGCGGTTCTTGTCGTTCTCATATTTTCCTATCCTCCTAAAATCACTAATATGCTCCTTTGAATTTAGGCCTTCTCCTAATCCTATTTTTTTCCTATCATTTTCATCTCTTCTGCTGCTTGGTCCACCCTAGATGAAATTTCCTTCTCTAAACATCCAAAAATTATTATGGACTTACTTCTATCTAGTGTTTTGTACTAGTTTACTGTTGGTTACCAGTTCTTTCCTAATTTCTTGCCAAAGTTCTGCTTCTTGTTGGTCACTTCTGGTTTTGACTTCCAAACACACTTCCTTGATTGTCTCTCTCTCTTTTACAACTTGCACATACATCTCACTTATTTATTCTTTATACTTTTTAGTTCTTTATTCACCTCCTCTATGTGAGTTGTCAGTGAAGTTTCCAGTTGCAGATCCTTGCCTAACTCTATGTTAGCCCTCAGGCTCCCTTGGAGTTGTTCACCATATGAGTCTATTTTCTTGTTGATTTCTTCAAAGTCACCACACTTTCCACACCTCATTTTCTTTCACTAATTCTTTGATTTGCTCCTCCTGATTTGTTACCATGTCCGTTAATGCAGTAATAATCTTACCTTGCTGAAGAATACTCCCTTTCAGAGTGCAAAGCTCACTCCTAAGAGCTCCATTGTCCAATTCTAGTTTAAGCACTTTTTCTTCATACTTCTTTTGCATATCCTCAATTATCTCTAACCTGCCAAGAACATCTCCTTTCCTTATATCTTGTGGTGAGAATCCTTTGAAAAAATCATCTGTTGATGTGTTTACATTCCCAGTGGTGGTGGCGGCGGTGGCCATCTTTGTTTTTGTTCTAGAACAAAAACAAACTTTTCCAACTCGGCTATTTTCACTCACCTTTACTTGTATATTGTATTTTATTAGCTTTTACACTTCCCTGAATCTTTATGTAACCTGGGACACCACTGTAGCCCTCAACCTGTTCCCAATACTTAGGTAATTTGACATTCCAGGAGCTTGCTGCAGTGTGACTCCTGCCTCCTCCAGCCTCTCTCAGTGTGTGTGGGCTCGCATTTTTGGGACATTTGTCGCCTCCTGCTGGAGGTTTTGTCATCCTGCTGCCATTTCTCTGTATGTAGGTACAATAAGATTGTGTATGTGTTTGTTTGTGTTGATGTATGTGTAAGTGTGTCTACCTCTTTTTTTTTGGCTGCCTATTGATGTTTTTCTTCCTCTGGCATGTGTGGTGGCTCGGGCTTCACCTGGGTGCGTTTCCGGGTTCCCTTGGATTCGTTTCAGGAGGTTTCCTCTGGATTTTCCTTGGAAGATGTTCGGGGTGGCCCCTGGTGGCTCTCCTGTGTGCACAGGCCTTGGCCTCTCCTCAGGCCCTTGCCTCTTATATGAGTGCTGTTCCCTGTCCCCATCCAGGGAGTCTTCGGTGGTTCGGAAGTCTTCCTGGCTTGCAGACAGCTCTCTCTGCTTAGGCCTAGGCCCTGGCTTTTCATTTTCCATATTTTGTTGGTTTTGGTTGGGGTTTAGTTTTCTGCTGCCTTGCGGGGAGGCTTCTGCTTGTTGCCTTCCTCTTGCTGCTTTTTGCTGGTCCAGGGAGGGTGTTTTTCGTGCTCCCGGATTAGTTGTGTCAGGGTTCAGGTCTCTGATTGTTGAGGTGGGTCTTTGTGCCAGCTTCTGTGCTGGTGCCTCCTCTGGTTCCGTCTGGATTGGGCCGGCGTCATGCTTGCTCTGCTCGTATGTTGGCTTCTGGGGGGGGGGGGTACTAACTCTTTTACGGGTTGCCTGTTGATGAGGCACTGGGAGGGGGGGGAAAAGGCTGGCGCTGTTTACCTTCCCCTGGTCCCGTGTTTCGGGTAGTCTCCTCAGACCTGTGGTGACGTTCAATGGCTCCTCTTTATCGTGGAGGATATGTAGCTACATATGTTCCTGAGCCAGGCTCTGGTTCAGGTCCCCAATAGGACTCGGAACTCTGCGGATGTTGGAGGCTAGTAGTTGTGAGCATCTCGTCAAGATAGGTTCATGAAACCACTGGGCTCACCCACAAATTGGCGTTTCATAACATTCAACGTTGGTTTTATGCAAGGGCTTGATGTAATGGAAATGTGTAAGACTATTGAGGTAGCTTCCTCCAGGAAGCCTCAGAGGGGTCCACCAGAACGAAGCATTTCACTATACATGTATTCAACACTGGATCTTTTTTACAGTGTGAGTTTTGGAATTTTAATTACAGATTTCAAAATTGAATATTTCACATACTGCTGTTCCTTGACAGTTGATACAAATTTATGGTTTACTGTAGGTGTAATTTTATTTCTTTTTAGAGTCAAGATGAAGGAGGGACTCAGGAGCCCGAGACCAAACCTACTCCTACATCACCTCTTCTCTCCTCACTCCTCAGCAAATCACCCATCACCAATGTGCCAATCACCAGTGTGCCAGGATCATCATCATCCCCTTTAATGCCGGTTGGTCATTAATCTCTTGTTTTGTACTCTACAGCATATTAAAATCACAGCGATGACTTTGGACATACGTGGCATAAAATTACCATGTGTAGCTTGGGAGCCCTTTGCTAACCATCCTGTTGGTGTGACTGACTTTCTCATGAGTAATACAAGACAAAAACAATGAGTTCCTAACATACCCACATCATGATAAGTTGGTGACTTCCTAATCATGCTAGAACAATTGTAGACTTGATAATGAAACCATACTGCCATGATAAAGAAATTCAACTGCAATCTGGAGTTCCGGGTCTCTTTCTGGCTTGCAGGCTGATCTTTTTGGGTCTTGGCACGTGTTGTGGTTGTGCTGGGGCCTTGGGTTTTTGTTGTTGAGGTGGGCCTTTTGGTGCAGTTTTTGTGCTCTCTTGGTGCCTTCTTCGTCTGGCCGGCGCAGTGCTCTCTGCCCACTGGGCTAGTCTTTTTTCTTTATTTTTAATTTTATTTTCATGTGTATGTGTGTACGTGTATGTATGTATATATATAATATATATAATATATATATATATATATATATATTATATATATATACAAATTCTTGAGGCAATTCACATAAGAATAGAGCGACCTACCATGAACACCCAAATCACGGAACTATTTACTCTACCCACCATGAGAGTAAGGACAAGACAAGAACATATCGATGCCAACACAGAAGACAATGTCCAACATAATAGGCCAATTACACTGGATTAATCTTTGTGTTTAGATAGGAGATGCCTCGTATGGGCCAATAAGCCTTCTGCAGCCCCTATGTTTATCCCTTATGTATCCCCCCATGTTTTCACCTTCATTGTATTATCACCTGACCTAATGCGGGTATAAAATCAACTAGTATTGTAAGATCTGTTCACTTGAGAATGAACCATGGAGGTTCGAAACGTCGTGCAAATTATACAAATAAGTGTAATACACTCTATAGTAAATCACTTCTTTTCTTCACCTTAAAAGTACGAAAATGAGTTTTGGAGAACTCCTATTTCAATTAAGCCCTGATGCTAAGAAAATAGTTAGAGGGATAGAAGCCCTAAACCAGAAAATAATAAATACAGAATATGCGGTCATATTCAATGAAACATGTTTGAAAGAAAACCTGCTGCCAGTATACACCAATATATATATATATATATATATATATATATATATATATATATATATATATATATATATATATATATATATATATATATATATATATATATATATATATATATATATATATATATATATATATATATATATATATATATATATATATATATATATATATATATATATATATATATATATATATATATATATATATATATATATATATATATATATATATATATATATATATACATACATACATACATACATATACATACTGTCTCCACTCGATCATCCGGACTATATGGGAAGGACCCCCAGCCGGATTATCACAATTTTCGGATAATGGTACTTTTTCACCTATGAGTCCAAAAGTGACCATTTCCAACTATTTTTATACTACAAACAACATAATTTGAATTGCCATGCCACATACAATTATTAAATATTCAACTAGAAACCTCAACTTACCTTGTTGGTGTTCGTCTTCTTGATTGATGCCACACATCTTGAAGTTAAAAATTCTTAACAATTTACGTAACCTATACTAACACAACACTAAAATTAACACTTAAAATTACTGTACAGTTCATTAAGCTAAGTTAGTTTTGACTGCCAGCTGCTGAAGCCTCACTGGTTGAGGGCATTTGGGTTGCCTGTGAGGCCTCACTTGTTGAAAGCGCTTGCTTGCACCTCACTTGTTGAAGCGCTTGCATGCCCTCACTTGTTGAAGGCGCTTGGCTTGCCTGTGATGCCTCACTTGTTAAAGGCGCTTGCTTGCGCCTCACTTTTTGAAAGCGCTTGGTTTGCCTGTGGCGCGTCACTTGTTGAAAGCGCTTGGCTTGCCTGTAATGCCTCACTTGTTGAAGGGGCTTGGCTTGCCTGTGGCGCGTCACTTGTTGAAAGCGCTTGGCTTGCCTGTGGCGCCTCACTTGTTGAAGGGGCTTGGCTTGCCTGTGGCGCCTCACTTGTTGAAGGCGCTTGGCTGCCTGTGACGCCTCACTGTTTGAACAACACGTAACTTGTCTTTAATTGCTAGGACAATCTTCTTCCTCTTAACACTTCCAGAACGATTGATGCTGCTACCAGACATATTCTTGGCCAAAAATGTTCAAAATTACTATGAAAATTAAGAAAGTTATTTAAAAAAATATTTCACTAATGGCGCAACACTGTGAGGCCGCACTGGTTGAGGCGTATAACTGTGACTTGTCTTTAATTGTTAGGACAACTTTCTTCCTCTTAACACCTCCAGAACGATTGATGCTGCTACCAGACATAGTCTTGGCCAAAAATGTTCAAAGTTACTATGAAAATAAAAAAGTTATTTAAAAAAATATTTCACTAATGGCGCAGCACTGTGTATAACACGAAGGACGGACGTACATGGGTTGACCAGTGTTGGACGGGTCCACTTGGGATAGCGCGTTACGTAGGCCGCCAGGAGGAAAAAAATTCACAATATTTTTGAAGGAAACTTCAGCCTGTGCACAATGCTTTTAGGAAACTTACAGTATGCACTCAATTTAACAGCCTATATGGGGCTGAGCCCAAGTCGTTATTTACGGAGCTCCGTTATTTCCGACGTTAAGTTGGGTCGGGTAATTTTTCAAGTAACATTCAGGTAGGATATATTTTATACTGTATAACTAAAATTAAATAAAGTTCATTGTGTAATTGCATTCCAATTTAGTGCACGGCCGACGATTAAGCCAGTTGCTGGCTGCTGCATGGATGATGTGTGAACACGCTCTGATCAAGTCCAGATGGGTGGGAAAAAATTGATTCATTCATTTGTGTTGAAAAATATTTTATGTATCAATCAGTGAGTTAATATTGTCTTAATAAAATTTTAGAGATGTGTTTTGATTTACCCTGAACAGTGCAGGTAATGTATTTTTAATGTTACGACACAGGCTGTGGCGGCCATGCCATAACAATGGCGATCGAGCCTTGTCACTGAGAGCTAGCCAAGACGAAATATTTTGAGCTCACCTTTTCTCTGCTGACGATAGAATATACATTTGCAGAGACTAATATGTAGCTTTTGTTGAAAAAAAACAATGAATATCTTGTAATACTATAATAAAATTGGTAAATTGACTTACTTTTAATGAAGCTGAAGATTACGAAGCTGTGAAGATTACGTCATCCTCTGCAGCGCTTGTTTTATATTGTTTATATTGTATACAGGGTACATACTGTATGTACAGTACACTTATTTTCAGGCACTCACTTCACACAACAGCTAGCCTTACTACTAATTCACATGAGTTCTAATTCTACTTCACTATTGACAATTATGTTGAATGTTAAACTCTGCTGCTGCTCATGCATGAGAATATCCTTTATCAAGTTTCTTAATTAACTCCAGCTTCTGTGCAACCGTCAGGCGCTTCCTTTGGGTAACTTTTGGCATTTTGTAAATTAAAAAGATCACAATTACAGTACAGTAATATCCTTCACAATTGAAGCTAGCCGCGCGAGTTCACGGTAAACAATGGGAACACATGGCCGGCGGAGTACATACTAGGTCCGTGGGAAAAAAAATACCTAGTGCCTATACATACTATAAAAGGTATTTAATAAGAAAACAAAGACTTTTGCTTAATAAAAACTCTTTCAAAATATTTTATTAATAATAATTTACAATTTTCTTCATTAAAGTGAATCATTTTAAAAGAAAATTAAGATGTAATATATGACTCTGGACGATCCAGGTCGGTGGCGGCCTGGTCGCCATGTGAGGGGACGCTGATGCCACAACAAACCCAATACTGACTGTCGGTAATATCGACCGCAGACCAGTATAGCAGGCTCTAGATACTGGGCTCCCAAACCGGTCGTTAATACCGGCAGATCGGTATAAAAGAGGCCGTTAAATTGAGTGGATACTGTATTTATTTGTTATTACATAATTACTAGTAGTTATTTCATTTGTTTTTGGCTATGATTAATTGTTCTAAAATTAATGGTAATTCCTGTACCCAGGTGGTCCCTCCTGACGCACCCCTCCCACCCTCCCAACACCACCCACCCACCCCACCCCCCTCCTCCACCATGCGTCTAGAGCCACAGACGGGATTAATACGGTATGGCCGTATTTTCATCCTGCCAAACCAGCTTTTATCCGGTTCCTGTGGCCATTTTGGCCGGATATTGTGATAACTTTATCCAATCACGATTTTGGCCGTATAAGGGCGTTTTCCGGATGTTTGAATCCCGGATAATCGCGGGGTTACAGTATATATATATATAATGTCGTAACTAGTAGCCAGAACGCACTTCTCTGCCTACTATGCAAATCCCGATTTGCCTAATAAGCCAAGTTTTCATGAATTAATTATTTTTCGACTACCTAACCTAACCTAACTTTTTCGGCTACCTTACCTAACTTAACCTATAAAGATAGGTTAAGTTAGGTAGGCTTGGTTAGGTTCAGTCATTTATCTACGTTAATTTTAACTCCAATAAAAAAAAATTGACCTCATGCGTAATGAAATGGGTAGCTTTATCATTTCATATGAAAAAAATTAGAGAAAATATATTAATTCAGGAAAACTTGGCTTATTAGGCAAATCGGGCCTTGCATAGTAGGCTGAGAAGTGCGTTCTGGCTACCAGGTACGACATATGTATATATATATATATATATATATATATAATTGTGACGGTAACGCGTTGGTGTTCGGCTGTTCAAAGCTAGGGGTATGGCCTCGTCACATAGTATTAAAAAAAAATAGAAAATCTGGAACTTCGTCTGTGGTAAGGTAAGGAGAAGACACACAAACAACAAGTAAATTTTAACAATGGAATTTTAATTATGTTAGATAAACAAAACATGAATAAAATGGACATACAAATTAGTATAAT